GGGCTCTGTAGTATTGCTGGCCTCATTGTTTTGGTCTAGAATTTATTTGAATACTTTATAGTGCTGGTTTTGTTGTCATATATTTCTTTAAGACTTCTTTTACATTGAAAGTCTTTATTTCTTCATGAATTAGGATAATTTTGCAGGATATATTAATCTGGGTTGAAAGCTGTTTTATTTTAAGGCTTGAAAAATTTCACTCCAAGCTCTCCTGCCCTTTAAGGTTGTATTGAAATATCAGACATCATTCTGATAAGCTTGCCTTTATAACTAAGTTATTTGGTGCTTTTCTCTAACCACTTTTAGTATTCTGTTCTTGTGCTAGACATTTGGAATTTTAGGTAGGATATTTTGTGCAGCAGTTCTTTTCTGGTCATGGTTATTTGGGCTTCTATGTTTCATTTACCTGAAAGTTGAATTCTTTCCTTTGACTTGGAAAATTTTCTATGATTTCATTAAATAAATTTTTATACTTTTTGTGCTATCTTCTGATCTTTCCATAACTCCTGTAATTCTCAAGTTAGTATTTTTAAATCATCTAGCAGCTGTTGGATCCAGTTTTCATGGTATCTTGTTGTATCTAAGGTTATCTTTGAGTATTTGATTTGCTACATCAACTTTTTGGTTTTGGTACCAGGGATCAAACTCGGGTCCTTGTGCTTGCAGGGCAGGCAGTGAACCACTGAGCTAAACCCCCAGCCCTGTACATCAACTTGACCTTCCAACTCTCTCTCCTCACATTGTACATTTTCAAAAGAATCTTTTATATTCTAAGTGTGTGTTTGAAGCAAGGGGGAGTATTCTGAGGGAGGTTCCTGCAATTTATCTTACTGCAGGGCCAGGGATTTAGCTCAGTGGTTTCGTCACCTGCTGTGCAAGCACAAGGACCCAAGTTCGGTCCCCGGTACCAAAAAAAATAAAAATAAAAATTTACCTTACTGCAATAATTTTTTTAAAAAAACAAGTTTTTTATATCCCAGATTTCTGTTTGATTTATTTTCATGGTATATAATTCTTTACTAACATGGTCATTCATACCTTGTATTGTCTTGGTTAGTTTACTCAACTTTTTTGTGTATATGTCTTCTTTAAGCTTATATTTTATCAACCAAGTCCCTCATCTATTTACATTATCTCTATGCTCACTGAACATCTTATGAATCTGTTTTTTCTTTTGTTTCATCAAACATTTCAATCATACGATTTTTTATTTTCTCAACCTCAGTGCCTTTGGAATCAGCTTTTGGGGAGGTAAGATTTTTCAGACACATTTTGTTGATTTTTTTTTTCACATTTCTATTGTTTTGTATGCTGAGGTTTGAGGATCAACTACAGTAGAAAAACTCTGTCACTACTATGAAGATCTATTTTAGTGTACGTGACTTTGGCTTTGGTAATGTTTTGGTTATTTATATACCTCTTCAACTGATTCAGTGTAATAGGTTCAAACCCAGTCACTGTATTCCAAGGACAGAGCCACTACCAGTTGTATCAATATCTAGAAACCCAACCATATTATCAATCGTGTAAATTAAAACTTGTTTTAATAATTTCAACTTTTCATTGACCCATGAAGACTGGATATATTACTATTGACAGGTAGGCTGAGATATAAAGGATGAGAGAAGGGAAGGGAGTAGATCAGAAAGAATAGGAGAAAAAAGATAATAGCAAATGAAAGAAAAGTCGAACTTTGTTGATACTATTTTTATAACAAGTAGAGGGGCTGGTGGTAAAGAAGTCTGAAAATATATGTAGGGGTTGGAGAAGGGACACAGAAAGAGAAAAGTATAATTGGAGAATAAGAAAAGATGTGAGAAGGTCAGAGTCTCTTCATAAGCTGATAATAAGCTTGTGCTTGAATCCTCTATATACAACTTTTGGTGAAGATTAGCCTGACTTGCCATGAAATACACCATTTAAAGCACTGGTTAATTCTTATTCTCCTTTTCACATACACACAAAAAAACCAAACAAATAAATAAATAAATGTGTGTACACACAATGCTTTCCAGTGCAAATCCTCCAAGCTTCCCTCATGCATCTCTGTCTTTACTTGGCCGTGATGGATCCTCTAGACTGTATACTTTAAAAGGGTGAAAATTTTGGTATGCGAAATCTATCTTAATAAAGCAGTTATTTTAAACATGGATAATTGGTTAATCAAAAATAAGAACAATATGGAGTAAACATATATATAAATAACATAAACAACTGTGATACAGTATCAGCACAAAGATAAGGCAGAAATGGAAGTCAGTCATGTGTCATGTAATGACATGGACCTGTTCTGAGAAATACACTGAACTTGTTATTGTGCAAATGTCACCATCATAAAGTGCTTACACAAACCTAAATTATATAGCCTACTGTTATACATAGGAAACGTGGTATGATCAAAACCTATGGTGAATGCTTAAATTTTGTTAAATATTTTATTACCAAGGTCCCAAGTTTGATCCCTGGTACCAGAAAAAAAATTTTATTACAGTAAAAAACACTGGCATCAATCCCCCTCAAAATACTCCCCCTCACTTTGAACACATATTATCATTCCTACTGCTTGCTGAAGCAGTTTTGGAAGCCCTCTTCTGTGTCTTCAGTTATACTGTCATGGCTACCTTGATGTCCTGCAGTGATTCAAAATGTTTACCCTTCACAGTCATTCTCACTTTGGGGAAGAGCTAGAAGTCATATGGAACCAGATCTGGTGAACAAAGTGGATAAGGACAGACTATAATGTTTTTATCAGTCTGCCTTTCCATTGGATGGCATTCTGCAGCAGATTCACTATAAAGACTCACAAAAGAGGACTTCCAGAATTGCTTCAGAAAATGGCAAGAATGTTGTGATAAGTGTGTTCAAAGCAAGGGGGGGTATTTTGAGGGGGTGGCAATGTGTCTTTTGTTGTAATATTAAATATTTTATTT